AATTATTTATTATGAGAGCGCGTGTTTGAACGCGTATTCCGTCGTGTTTTTGTGCGCGGCGCATATAATTAATCGTTTCGCAGTGCATTGCATTTAAGGCCCTGCGCTTACGGTGCCTGTATCAATACGCGATGTACGTATATTATCGTTATTTTATCATTTGTAATCGCGGGCGATAAGACGCGCGGAAAATACCGCGGGTGTAGGTTTTTTTCTATTCGATTATTTTACAAAGTCGACGCGATTTGCGTACGCGCGTGTACATAATGTTGTTAAACCGTTATTACTACACACGGCGGCTTAAATGTCAACGCAGAACCGCGAAGTTCGTTTGGAAAAATCGTCACGCGCCCGTACAATGTATTTATATATACGTATAGTTCTCCAGTCGGCCGCACCTATACACACGTATAGACCCAGGGTGTAAACAAATATCGAATTTTCATTAAATTCGGTGTTTTGGTATAGCAGACAAACGTCGATATTGCGGTGCGCACGAGCGCGTACAATACGGAACGCATAAAATATAATCGTTTCTCCGGCAGCTAACAATCGGTGTAACGCATGTTTACGAGCGAGTTGCCCGATATCGATTCCCGACAATTGCGTGCGTACCGTTTTTATACGCATACCTGTAACGCGTGTACCCCCCCCCCCCCCCCCCCCCCNCCCCCCCCCGCCACCCCACACTCGTCGCGGTTTCGTACTATAGTACGGTGTTAAAACATCTAGACAAAAATGACCGGAGTGTTTATCAAGGAAACGATATTATATACCGCACAGTGTGTAGATGCCGTAGGACCTAGGATAACGGTTTAGACCGGATATACAGTACGCGTCGAAATTTCATAAACATCTATACGTCTATTATTCGGATTTAAATTAACGTGTGTGAACGCTACAAATACTACAGATAACCATATCGGTTAGACTATTATCTCGGAAAATTTTAAATTTCCGTTCATCTCGATGCAAAACATATAACACGCTGATATTAGTGTACACGTACCCGTAGCGTATGTATTGATATGATGTACGCACGTTATATCAACGCGAAAGCGAAAGCGTGTTGATGAAACGATAAATTTCGCTCGTTCGCAAATTTTAGAACTGTTTCAATTGAACGGGCGCGCGCGAAAACGTAAACACCGAGTATACGCCCGCGGCCGGAAAACATTAGAATATTTTAGAAAATATACCGTACGCGGGGGAAAAAAAAAGAAAGAAAAATGAATAATACATATTGTATATATATATTTTTTTTTTTTTTTTATAATCGAAATTTAAAATATATTATCACATTATATACGAATACACTTACATGCCGTACACCATAGAGTAAATCGGTGCGAAACGGAGTCTGAGGTATTTAGATTTCAGTTTCTGAACGGACCGAAGAATAATATAATATTATTGGCATTGTTGTTGTTTTTTTATTATTTATTTATATTATTTTTGTTTATTATAAATTTAGCTGAAAATTGTCGTCCGACTTTTTCAATTTGATGGTTTGTCTATGTCTGAAATCTTGCACCGACGCGTCATAAATGATTCTGAAAGCAAATACAGGGTTAGTTGCAAATATAAGAACTGAAAACGACCGCGGTTTTCGATTTTATTTCTCTTATTGTAAATCTGTTAAAAATAACCATAGAGATCCGAAACTGTATAAGACCGGAACGCTATTATATTTGTCCATTTTCGAAATTTTCATAAAGACTTTTCGATTTTCAGACAATACTAATAGGCGTTTTCGAGTTGATCGACAATTTGTTTTGTTGAAATTTATACTCGGTCGGTGTTCGGTCAAACAGCTAGCTTTAAAATATTTATCACGAGGTTCGTTGCGAGTTGAATATTTAAAGAAGTAAAAAAAAAAAAACGAGTCGGGTAAAACGTAGTGGTTTATTTTTCTGATAAGCGTTTGAAGAAAAAAATTTCAAAAGAAAATCCTATATGAAATTCGCGGCCGCGCGTTCCAAAACAAGCGTATCATAATCGCTCAGAATCGTTTTTCGTTAACAACGGGCATAATGCCGTAGCCCGCGGACGTGAATTAACAATAACGTTATGACGAGTCCTACGTTTTTTTTTTTTTTTTTTAATATATACGTATACAAATATCGGCACTCTAATCGTACACTGTATTATGCATAATATCAGTTAAATCGGTTGCGTAAGTTTGGAAACGTCAAGGCGTCGGCGAAACTCGGCCGTAAAAAAAATATCGCGACCGTTCCGATGCGCGCGGACGAAACAAAACGAAGGCGCCGGACGGCCGGCCCGGCGCGGTCCCGCGGCAGGTGTGAATCGCCGCGGCGGCGACGGTGGCGGGGCCGCGACGACGGCGGACGCGGGCGCGCGCGCGCGCGCATAGCCGCGCGGTGGGCCGGCGGAGTAAAAGGGGGCGGGTCTCGCGCGCGGCGGGGCCGGCCCGTCATTGGCGCGTTCGGGCCGCGCCCCGGCCGTTCCGCCGGCGGTACGGCGTCCCCACCCCGGCGCGGCGGGACGGCGTCGCGGCCCCCCGGAACGACTCGGGACCCGGGCCAGTACAAGCCGGCAGGCGCTCCGGACAGTTCGCGTTTCCCGCAGTAATAGTCGCACCGCGCGAATCGCTCTTATTGTCGCGTGCACCGCCGTCGTCGTCTTCTCGTTGTTACAATATTATACATTTTTTTTTTTTTCGACTATCGCGAAAAATCATCGCACCGGCGAACCACTTGCCTGTATCGTTTTTTCAGTAACAATACTACTATCGCGATTCCGCAGTTATAAATACGAGCGACGAGTTTATTGTTTTTCTGTTTCTCGCCCGAGCGCCGTTTATTTTTTCCGTTTGTATCTACGTCGCGAAATAATTTCGTCGGTAGTTTTATTGTTATTATTTATTATTTTTTTTTTCTCGAGAGAAAAATTTGTTTTTTTTTTCTGTGCGATACACCGACCGGACAACCGCAACTGCACCGCGGAGTCCTGCTTCGATTGGATATGCTAGCTGCCGACTGCACATAGTTCCTACAGCATTTTAAACGTAAGCCCGAAATCCATTCAAATAATATAATAGTTACAACGTCGCGTAAATTAATAAATCCGAATCACGAGATAATACGCGATATTTGTATCGTTATAATTATTTTCACGCGAGAGAAACTGCAGTTACCGTGCCGGAGACTTAAACGTCCGCTAACTCGTTTGTAAATCGAATTTTTACCGCCGATTCAGATAGAACATACTCGTCTCGTCCGTAATATTCCCCGGCTCTCAACGAACACGGACCGACGGAGTGTTTTTTTTTTTATAGTTACGCTTTGGATTTTTGTTTTATTTTCGCACTTTAACCACCATATCCATCACAATGTTCATGGCTCGATGCGCTATATTTTCAGAGTATTTTTTTTTTCCACGTCGAATCGGGTTAGTCGAAAATCCGCCACCCTCGTAATTATTGTATACGCTTATCGCGCGTGTAGATCATTTACGTTTTCCAGTTCGGTCACACAGCCTGGTTATAATACAATATCCTACTATACTGTCGTCCAATATACTCGCAGGAAATTATTTAAATATATATATTCGGTCGGGTTAATCGCGGTGTTTTATTTTTTTTCTCGCGAATTTTTCTCTATCGCGGAACTATACCGTCGGGAATAGGAAATCTATACACATACGTACAATACATGTGTGTAGCTGGTAATGATATTATAAAATAATCGCCGTCCGGTGATCCGCCGGACGCCGCGGTGCGGGCGGATAGGTCACGAAAAGTCCGTGCGAACACGGAATGGGCGGCGTTAAAAGCGACGGGGTTTTTTTTTTTTTTTTTTTC